ATATGTAAACTAGAGAACCAGTGGGAATTTGCTGTATGATGCAGGGAGCTCAACTCAGTGCTCTGTGAAAATCTAGAGTGGCTGGATGAGGTAGGAAATGGGAAGGAGGTTCAAGGGGGGGGGGGGGACCATGTATTCCTATGGCTGATCATGTTGATGTACAGCAAAAGCCAGCACACCATTATAAAGCCATTATTCTCCAATTAAAGATAAGTCATTTTTTTTTTAAAGGTAGGGACTTCCCTGGTGGTCCAGTGGCTAAGACAATGTGCTCCCAATGCAGAGAGCCCGGGATTTGATCACTGGTTGGGGAACTAGATCCCACATGCCACAACTACAAGTGCCTATGATACAGCTAAAGAATCCCACATGCTGCAATTAAAGATCCCATGTGTCACAACTAAGATCCAGCATGGCCAAATGAGAAAATAAATAACTATTTAAAAAAAAAATGCCTCTGACTCCTTCAAATCCAGCCATGCCTCTGATTTAGGATGAGATGAAACTGTCATCTGATCACATTTAATCCTTGCCCAAAAAACCTGTGAGGTAGTTGCAACTATTATTCCAATCTTAACCAAAGCTTAAAGAAATTATGGGACTTGCCCAAGAACATACAGCTTTTAAGTGTGTGAGCCAGGATTCAAACTCTGGTTTATCTTTCTCAGAGTCCAAGCTTCCGAATGCTATTCTATAATTTAAAATGTATTTATTCTTTCAATTTTACTAGCATGATGGAGAAGAGACTAGGCTAACCAGATAGCCATTGATAGAAAGGGAATTGATTGCCCAAGTGTACTCATCCCCTTAGTTCCTCTAGCATTGTAGATACTCAGTTCAGTTCAGTTCAGTTGCTCAGTCATGTCCGACTCTTTGTGACCCCATGAACCGCAGCATGCCAGGCCTCCCTGTCCATCACCAACTCTCGGAGTCCACCCAAACCCATGTCCATCGAGTCGATGATGCCATCCAACCATCTCATCTTCTGTTGTCCCCTTCTCCTTCTGCCCTCAATCTTTCCCAGCATCAAGGTCTTTTCCAATAAGTCAGCTCTTTGCATCAGGTGGCCAAAATATTGGAGTTTCAGCTTCAACATCAGTCCTTCCAATGTACACCCAGGACTGATCTCCTTTAGGATGGACTGGTTGGATCTCCTCGCAGTCCAAGGGACTCTCAAGATACTCAGTAAATATCCATTTAATAAGTAAAGAAGTGACTATAATGCAGGGGCCTTCTCCATACAGAAGTCTTCAGATGTTTATAGATTTGTTGTTGTTGTTCAGTCGTTAAGTCATGTCCGACTATTTGCAACCCCACAGATTGCAGCATGTCAGGCTTCCCTGTCCTTCACCATCTCCCAGAGTTTGCGCAAACTCATGTCCATTGAGTCAGTGATCCTCTCTAACCATCTCAGCCTCTGCTGCCCTCTTCTTTTGCTTTCAATCTTTCCCAGCATCAGGGTCTATGTCTGATATCATGGTTATCCCGACATGCTTCACAGCATAGCTCATAGCTTCATTGAGTTATGCAAGCCCCTTCACCACAACAAGGCTGTGATTCATGAAGGGGATTTATAGATTGAGTGCAAACAAATATAAGTCCCAAGATGCTGAAAATATAGGAATAAAAGAGATTTTATGTCTTCTCTGGAGTGGTCCAATAAGATGCTTTCCATGATAGATTATCTGTTTATTGTTCCATAGAAGTGTGGAAAAAACCCAAACCAAAAACTTTTTGTCTTATTTCTCCTTTCAGTAGAACTCAAGTGAATCTGTTGAGACAGTTCCAGGGAAAGTACTTTGAGTTTCAAGAGAAGATGAGAATTAGGTTTTATTAAAGGTGGTGATGGAGAGGCTATATGGAAATCACAAAATTCAGCCAACAAGCCTCTTTCTGCAAAGTACACATATCCGCATTTGGTTTCATTGATGCACCTGTGATACCATGTTGAGCAAACACCACAAATAATCTTTCTCCTGGGTCACTGGAATACACTCGAAGGCCTCTAGTTGCACACAGGTAAGAGGTCTGGAGACCAGATGGGTGGGGGGAGGCAGATACAGATATCAATCAATAGGGACTTCAAAATCTTCTGTTTTAGATTTTGGTTTGTTTGTTCATCTTGAACTGTGCTTATAGGTTTGCTGTGAGATAGTGCCCAATTCCATTCTCTCTTGCAATCAACAGCACTACCTTACCTAGTTTACTTTTAAGGTTGGAGTTTAACCAAGTGATCATATAACAGAGTGAAACTAACCAGCCCAGGAATTTATTTTACCTTTTGTGGGATTATAATAAATTTACACCTGGGGGTAGGGGGGGGTGTGTGTAAAAACTTTCCTAACTTCTAAAACCATTGATCAGTTTAGCTTGTTTTATACTTTACATAACTGGAATCCTACAATGTGTATTCTTTTGTGCTGTTTCTTTTACTCAACATTACTTGAGGAGATTTAGTTGTAGATAATTTATTCTAATTGCTCTATATTATTCCATTGTGTAAAAAAATGCCATAATTTATTTATCCTTTCTACTGTCAATGTGAAGTCAAGTGGGCCTTAGGAAGCACCACTACGAACAAAGCTAGTGGAGGTGATGGAATTCCAGTTGAGCTATTTCAAATCCTGAAAGACGATGCTGTGAAAGTGCTGCACTCAATATGCCAACAAATTTGGAAAACTCAGCAGTGGCCACAGGACTGGAAAAGGTCAGTTTTCATTGCAATCCCTAAGAAAGGCAATGCCAAAGAATGCTCAAACTACCACACAATTGCACTCATCTCACTCGCTAGTAAAGTAATGCTCAAAATTCTCCAAGCCAGGCTTCAGCAATACGTGAACCATGAACTTCCAGTTTCAAGCTGGTTTTAGAAAAGGCAGAGGAACCAGAGTTCAAATTGCCAACATCCGCTGGATCATCGAAAAAGCAAGAGAGTTCCAGAAAAATGTCTATTTCTGCTTTATGGACTATGCCAAAGCCTTTGACTGTGTGGATCACAATAAATGTGGAAAATTCTGAAAGAGATGGGCATACCAGACCACTTGACCTGCCTCTTGAGAAACCTGTATGTAGGTCAGGATGCAACAGTTAGAACTGGACATGGAACAACAGACTGGTTCCAAATAGGAAAAGGAGTATGTCAAGGCTATATATTGTCACCCTGCTTATTTAACTTATATGTAGTGTACATCATGAGAAACACTGGGCTGGAGGAAGAAATATCAATAACCTCAGATATGCAGATGACACCACCCTTATGGCAGAAAGTGAAGAAGAACTAAACAGCCTCTTGATGAAAGTGAAAAAGGAGAGTGAAAAAGTTGGCTTAAAGCTCAACATTCAGAAAACTAAGATCATGGCATCTGGTACCATCACTTCATGGGAAATAGATGGGGAAACAGTGGAAACAGTGGCTGACTTTATTTTTCTGGGCTCCAAAATCACTGCAGACGGTGATTGCAGCCATGAAATTAAAAGACACTTACACCTTGGAAGGAAAGTTATGACCCAGCTAGACAGCATATTAGAAAGCAGAGACATTACTTTGCCAACAGAGGTCCGTCTAGTCAAGTCTATGGTTTTTCCAGTAGTCATGTATGGATGTGAGAGTCGGACTATAAAGAAAGCTGAGGACCAAAGAATTGATGCTTTTGAACTGTGATGTTGGAAAAGACTCTTGAGAGTCCCTTGGACTGCAAGGAGGTTCAACCAGTTCATCTTAAAGGAGATCAGTCCTGGGTGTTCATTGGAAGGACTGATGTTGAAGCCGAAACTCCAATACTTTGGCCACCTGATGTGAAGAGCTGACTCATTGGAAAAGATCCTGATTTGGGGAAAGATTGAGGGCAGGCGGAGAAGGGGACGACAGAAGATGAGATGGTTGGATGGCATCATCGACTCGATGGACATGGGTTTGGGTGGACTCCGGGAGTTGGTGACGGATAGGGAGGCCTGCCGTGCTGCAGTTCGTGGGATCGCAAAGAGTCGGACATGACTGAGCGACTGAACTGTACTGAACTGAACTGTCGATGGGCATTTGTGTAGTTTACAAGATTTGGCTGGTATGACTAATGTTGTTATAAATATTCTCAAATAAGGCTTTTGGTGCTTTTCTGTTGGGTGCCGCATGAAGGAACAGCTGCTGAATGACATTATGGGCATGTATTCAGCTTCAGGGGATACCACCAAACATTTCTCCAGGAGAGTATTTCATCTGTGATTTTCTTCTATATATTTTTTGCCTGTGATATTTCACCCTCCAACACTGGCCTCATTAACATGCCACTTGACCAGAACCCTGCCAATTAAGGACTGCCGTAACTACCCCCTCCTGAGGGTAGCGCCTGAAGAGCATGAATACTTCAGCATTCTCCCAGTTACCTTAACCCCTGGAGAGCTCTGAAAACACGGTTTTCCCCCAGGGAGGGAAAAAGGCAATTTGACAGTAATTCCATGTTGTTTGTGATAGATAGCCCCACGATACAAGAGTCACAGCCCTTGAAACCGTTTTGTTTTGTATTTTGCCGCTTTTTGTGCGGGGAGAGTTTCATAAACTCCAAAACAATTACAAAGAAGCATTTACAAAAGAGATGGGGGTTGGATCAGAGCGCTTCCGCTTTCCACATACACCACAGTAGAAGTCCCGGGAGGCCCACTGGAACAGAGATTGGTTGCACCCTTTTCAATCCCAATGAGAAGCCTTCCTAAGGTCTCCAAAGTGGAGCATAAATCACAGCTGTGTGGCGCTTTGACGATCTACCTTTTGCTGCTAATCTCTCCTTTCTGAAAGGGTAGGGGGAGGGATATATGAAGGCGTGTGACCCTCTACAAATCGACAAACAAGCCCAGACAATAGTCTCTGCCTTGCCAGAGTTGTGGTTCGTTTGTTTTTTGTTTTGTTTTTTTTTACTAAGCTCATTGGGATTTATTCTTGTTACCGTATATTACTCATTAACTCCTTGAAGTTACTGTTGGGTACCTCGGGGTGGAGGCCCCAAGCCTCAGCATTCCTCTAAAGGGCTTCCCACCGCAGGAGGAGGGGTGCGGCGGGGGCGGCGCAGCTCGCCCATGGCCTCAGCAAGGTGCCGCCTGCCTGGATCTGCTTCCCAGGAAGGAGGAGGGGTGGCCAGAGTTGGTGGCCAACATTGACACACAGGATCTAACAGGGAAGGCTTCCGTGGACGTGTAGACAGGTAGTTGTCAACACTTCCTGGAGGTCCGAGGTCACAGGGACCAAACTTTACATGCAGCCCCTGCCTCCCAAACAGCCTCTGTTTTTCAGCTCTGCGTTGGTTTTCCTCTGGACGTGTGGCGGGAAGGTACTGAGAAAACATTCTGACGGATCAAAGTTGCAGTTATAAGGATATCATTTCCTTTGACATTAATCTGATTTAAAAAAACAAAAACAAAAAAATTACCTACGACAGGACTTATTAATAACATCTGGTCCCTCATGTCCAGTTTTTCTAAATTCCATCTTGGTGGTGTATTTGTGAGTTTTGTTCTTCAAGGAGGTTTAGTCAAAGAAAGAGGGAAGAAAAATAAGTTCTTTATAAAACAAAGACACCAAATTGAAGCTTTATAAGACTGTGTTACACTTAACACTTGCTGCTCCCCACCCTTTACCATAAGGACATTCTATTATGCTTATTATACTCTTATTCTATTATACTAATTGAATCAGCCCCTTCCCTGGCTCCTCGGTGTTTTCCGGAAACTATTTAAACTACTTACCCTCCCTGTTAAGGCCCTACACCGCTTAGTTTCTAACTACATTTCCTTTCTTGTCCCAACTTCCTCTCCTATGTAACTATGTTTTCATTCTCCTTTCTGCTTTATTCCTTTTATTCTACCATCCTGGCCTGTAGGAAGGCCAAACTGTCTGTTCTCTAAACACCACCTCCCTATATCCACGAACTTTCTGTCCTTCCTTAGGAATGTCATCTTATTTACCTTTCTGATTCCTAGAAGAAAAGGGACTAGATTCATTGCCCCTTGTCCTGGAAAGAAGGTAGAAAAGTTTCCTTAAATGTTGCAGAATCATGTTGTGTACACCAAAAGGAACCTGGAAAGACCAGTCATAATCCCACAGCACAGACTTCCTCAAAGCCTTTTCCAGCCTGTGTTCCCATTTGTCCATACACTGCACATGAAAGTTACAGGGATAATTTCTTATTAACCATGTATGTAGACAGAGAGAAGACAGTTTAGATAACATGACCAGTTAGCCAGCAGGAAAATGAGAAATCATGTTGTCAATACTTCTGAATTAAACTCTTGATTCTCAACAAATGTTTACTAAGGTAGGTTGACACATTTTAATGCATTTTTATACTACTTAAACAACCATAAGGTATGATAGCACGGCATTGTAATACACATTGTATTATAAAGTATTTACTTTCAGAAAAACTTCTGCACTTAATCCTTACAACCACGCTGTGATGAAATGGGACAATAATGAGTTTATTTTATGAAGGAAAACACTCAGACAGAAAGTTCAGTGGATTGTTCTGGGTTTCTGGTTGGTGTTTTTCCCACTGTATTATGTTCTCATAAAACTTGAGGAGCATGAAAGACCCTCTTGCACAAGGACATTCCTTTAAGAACTGTACTGTAATGCCTGAAATTATGCTATGGTAGAATGATCCATTTCTTTAAGTATTATGTCACAAGAAATAAAACATAAAGGCATAATCATGAGAAATAGTTCTAATATGGCTGATTATTATCTTTGAGTCAGTACAAACAAGAAATCTTAAGATTCAGATGTAAATCTGGATCACCTGAGGTCCCAAAGTAGAAGTTTGCTTAAACACTAGTGTGGGGGAAGAAAGGTCCTTGAAGAACAAAGTGTGTGTCCTGTCTTCATGACTTGCTACTTCATGATCTTGGGCAAGGGCTTCCCAGGTGGACTAGTGGCAAAGAACCTGCCTGCCAATGCAGAAAACATAAAAGATGTGTGTTCAATTCCTGGGTCAGGAAGATCCCCTGGAAGAGGGCATGGCAACCCACTCCAATATTCTTGCCTGGAGCATCCCATGTACAAAGGAGCCTGGCAGTTCTATAGTTCATAGAGTCCCAAAGAAGCAGACACGACTGAAGCAACTTAACATGTACGCACGATCTTGGGCAAATTACCTTTGAACATCAGTTTCCTTACCAGTCCAAGAGACAAAGTAACAATACCAAAATGAAATAAAGTATTGAAACTGTATATTAGTAAACTCTGAAAAGTGAAAGTTACTACAAAAATGTTAGTTCTCACCATCATAATGAGTTACACCATCATGATCTCCTTGAAAGACTGAGTCTTTATAATCTAAGAAGATCTATAGGATTTAAAAGGTCACCCTTGGAAATAAAATTTAGAGAATTCACAAGGGACCAATCATGGTGGCAAACCTCTTCACTGCCATCACATTAGGCCCTGAACCACAGAATGTTTTGCTCTTCCGTGATCAGACATCTACACTCAGTGTGTTCCAGAGGCTCAGGTCAGAATGGAAACAGACCCAGAAAGTTCAGAACTGCTTCAGCAAATCAGTTCTAGGACCAAGCTGAGCCAAGCAGGGCTCCTTACAGAGCTTCCAAGGGTCTCCAAGCAACTTTTGGGGGAATGGCAAAGCAAATCTGGCCAAGGCACAACCAAGATAATTTTCAGGATAATCATTCATCCTCTTATTAAAAGTCAAGTATGAGGTAGGTACTCAGTAAGCTTGGGGGCTTCGTGGGTTAGCAGAAAGACCTGATGCTTCCTTATTGTCTAGTTTCCATGAATATAGGAAATAACTTACCCCGATCACACACTTTCTAGGGTACTTCTTGATGGAGTCTTGAAACCTTGTCCTGATACCTAAAGGAATGAAAATGCTCATTGAAATCTTCCAACCATATGATTTCATTTCCTTTCTACCAAGAGTCCTGTCCTGCCCACCCTATTTATTACTACCATGACCTTGCTCTCAGGCATAAGATTTCTTTCTTGCCCCTGGAAACAGTTTCTTAGTCAGTGGGAAACCACTCTCTATCTTAAAAAAAATGAAGTATTGCCCATCATTTTACCTATCTCTTCTCACTTGCTGTGCTCCAGCTAAATTGGACTCTAGTTCCTCAAATGAGCCATTCTCATTGCTTCAAGTCATTTGCAACCTCTAAACTTGCTGCCTAAAAACCCCTATCCAGAACCACTCCCCTGCATTAACACACATACAGGTAGCAAGCACACATACACACACATGCACACGCCGTGCCCTCAAACCTTGGATAAGTCCTATTCACCCTTCAGGCTTCAGTTTAAATATCACTTCCAGAAAGATACCAACCTCATGGTGGAGGTTAGCTCTTCCTAGTCTGTGCTTCTGTATATTCCATATGCTCCCTATAGATCATGTATTTTATGACCCTTTTCATTCTCATAGTCACTTGTTCACTGTTTTTCTTAAGCTCTATAAGGGCATAGAATTTATGCCCCAGACCCTAGCACAGTGCCCACAAAGATAGACAGTTAGTAAATATGTTTTGCATGATTAAATGAATCTCAACTACACCTTGCACTAAGGTGAATTTTAAATTTGCCTACTCACTCTTCTGAGTTGATCTCAAAATTTTCTGCTTGCTTTTAAGAATTCTTTCCTTCACACTAGTCTCCTGAGAGCACAACCTTTTTTTTTCTTCCAAGTGTGATCTCCCTGCCATGTACATTCATGGCACCAAATAAATATTAAGAGCGTGATCAAATGTTCCACAGTTGGAATATGGTGAGTGAATGACTCAGTGAGACATGTCCTTCTATTGTGTGATTAAACAAGACACATCATATTACATGTTGTCAGAACAGGACGAAGTCAACATAATCTAGATTAATGTGGATGTTACTAGCTCGTCAGTGTCCAGAATGGATGGGAAATCTGGCACTGCCCCTGGCCAACGGAGAAAAAATTAGACAAGTTATGAAGCAAATGTTTTTTGATCTTTTCATATGCTGAGTTGCATTTCTTCACTACTGTGGATTGGGGAGAAGGTAGGATTATTCAGAACACATGCAGCACTAGGGGAAAGAAAACACAAAACACTTAAAACTCAACTCTGATAAACATAAAACTTGTGTCCTGCCAACCTCAAATGCAGTTTTTCCAAGATACAAATTTCATGGATAAGTTCAGGGAACCAAAGGGACATTTGATCAGTTGGCAACTGAGATGAAGCTGGTTCTGGATCCAAATAGTTTCCTCACATTTTCACATCCAACCCCTTCCCTGCCACTGCATTGCTACTTGGGCATGCCATGGTGTCATATTTAGCCTTCAGATTCTTTCATAAGGGCTGTCGTTGCAGGTCTTAATGGGGAGAGGAAGGGGGAAATGACAGAAAATAAAGGAATACATGAGCTCTTCTTTCACCCCTCTACCACCCGAATAGATCCAGTGTCCCTCCTCTTTATAAAATTCTGCCCTAAAATGCTGCTGCATCACATGTGTGCTGGTGAAAGGAGGGTGAGGGTGGGAAAGAGGAGAGTTCAGGCTGGATGGTTCAGGTTATGGAGACAATGGGTTCTTTCAAAAAGAGAAAGAAACCCTTAAAAAAAAAAAAAGCCAACTCTGTAAAATGACATTCATTTGAAGTCCCTTTCTTTAAACATAAACAGATGTATAATATCCACAAATCCTCCAATGGAATAATGCCTAAGTACCTAAAGGCAGAATGTGGCTGGATATCCAATAAGAAATTATTATTTAAAACATTGCATTGTCTATAAAGCTATAGTTAAGATAATCAAATTCATTCTTTAATTCAACTGACATGCATTGAATATCTACTCTGTGTCCAGAAACTGTGCTAAAGGCCAGGATATTCACATAGGTTAGAAGCCCGCACCCTGGAGGAGCTTATATTTTAGTGGAGGAGATAAGATAATAAAGAAATGTAATAAAACTTCAAAGACAGAAGGAAGGAAGGAAGGAAAGAAGGAAGAGAAAGATAAAAATGGAAATGGTAGTAGGGAAAAGAAACTGCCTAAATCTACCTGGGGAATTCTGGAGTGACTTTAGTGGATGACACTAACATGAATAATTAATATGACATTAGCAATAATCATTATTGTTATGTTGTACCCTGGTGAATCTGGGTTGACACATAATGGTATGAATAATATGGGTCAAGTACATTAAAATCATCCCTTTTTAGGTTAGAAAATTCATCACATAATGTAAAAATGCCTCAAACAGGCAGTAAAGAATTGTCAAAAATGATTTTCAATGAACAGGAAGATCACCGGACAACAGAATTCCTGAAAAAATTACAAGAAAGTCAAATTGTGCTGCTAATTATGAAT